AGATGTGCGTGGCCAGCTTGCGCCCTCTTATATGGGAACTGTGATCAGTGATCTTGTCTGCATGGTATCGCGTTTTGTGTCTAAGGCTCGTTACTTGATGTCCACAGGTCAACGTGTTTGCATGCGCAGCGTTTACAAGCTAGAGCTCGTTGCCGCCAGTTTAGTCTTCCTGCTTGCTTCTGGCAATGTCCGTGTCCGCAGAGGAAGTTGCCAAGCACAACACCGACAAGGACTGCTGGGTCATCGTCGGTGACCAGGTGCTGGACGTCACGGAGTTTCTGTCGGAGCACCCTGGCGGTAAGAAGAGCATCATGATGTTCGCCGGCAAGGATGCCACCGAGGAGTTCGACATGCTGCACGACCGCAAGGTCATCAAGAAGTATGGCCTGGATGAGGTCAGATGTTACCAAATCTTCGCAGCAAATGATTAGAGTCGTATTTCTGTATGTTGTTTATTGGCCTAATCACACCCAGTGGTTCCTGTGCCTTTGTGCTCCTCTCTTCCGTTGCAAAGCCATCAGCGGTGTCATGTTACACTTCCTCCGAAGCTACCCTACAGCTTTTTACTACTACCAGCATGGGGTTATCCAGAAGATTAGGGTACCTTTCCAGGAGCCCTCATACACATGAATGCAGCATTTTCAGGTGTATCTTGGGGCTTCCCCGATTATGGAAGCTAATTACCGCCGCCCCACGCATGCAAGTATTGTCATGGCTTCCCCGCAGCAACGCCATCACTCCCTTAGTTAAGAGGGAACCTTGGGAGGGGATAGTGTTTGGAGGCATGGGAGCCCATGAACCCTCGCTGTAATTAACCCGGATTACATCAGCTTAGTAGTAGTAGTAGTAGTAGTAGCAGTAGTAGCAGTAGTAGTAGTAGTAGTAGTAGTAGTAGTAATAGTGATCCCCCAATCAGGAGGTATAAGCTATATAGCTGTAGAGGTCTGGGTTACAGGTAAACCCTCCCTAAACCCCGAACCCTGATTTGATGGGGCGTCTCAATTTGCAACATACGTTGGCTATGCAGAGGATATGTAGGGCTTGTATAGGGATATGTAGGGGTAATAGTAGGGCTTGGGGCTTCTAAGTTTAGGGACGCTTTTCGGGAGGAGTTTCCAAAACACCCCTAAACCCCTAAACCCTAAATCCCCAAACGCTAAACCCCTAAACACTAAATCCCTAAACCCCAAATCCCCAAACCCTAAATCCCTAAACCCTGAATCCCAACACAAGGACTACAGTATATTGGAGTCTATAAGGGGAGTCCCCCAAGTACCACGGCTAGCCCCAGTGCTCCAAATAGAAAGCAGAGGGGTTTAGGGTTTAGGGTAGGTATTGTCAGTTGTCTTAAGGGTCCAAATAGGTATTATCCATAGACTTAGACTGGATCAATGTTAGGGATCCTTTGCGCCTTTTGGGGTATGGAATTTATATGTTTATGTAGAAAGTCCTTTATTCTTCCTATGGCACTGTGGGCTAAGTAGAGCCGTAGAGGATGCACCACAATGGCATCTGCAATCGTAAGAAGATTGGACCTGTGCAGCGTCAGTGACAGCGATGTTGCTGACAATTCGCTGCGTAAAGCGCATGACTTACTTGCTCTTAGTAGGAAATAAGAGAATATAATCCCCATATAAACCCTACAGTATAGAATACGTTCCATATTCACTACTAAGAACCACGAATATGGAGAGTCAGAGTCGTAGCCCTCAAGCCTCACGTTACATACCTCATGCGGACCTTGCAGTTGCTCCCAAACTGATCCCCCCCAAAATGAATCTTCGATGAGCAAGTCTTTACTGTGGGGGCATGTGAAACATGGCGCGTCGGGGATCCTGGCGCCCGTAACCCCTTCATGTTTGGCAGAACGAGCTGAATATGAGCTATAGTCTAAAATCCTTAACGGTGTTGTATAAGGGGTTATATAGGGGAGCATTAAAGGGGTTATTAAGGGGGAGACTGAACACTAAGCGGTACCTAGCACTCGGTGCCTAAGCTAAGAAGATTACCTCAATCAACAACAAAGTTGGGTTTAGGGTTTGATTAGCATGTGAGCTTTTAACTGCAAATAGTCTCGTCCTCAATATGGAGTAGGACATCTTTCTCTTTTGGGGTGCAGTAGTTTGTAAGAAGATGAGTTCGATAGCTGGGTCAACTAGCGAAAGATTAGGTGTTGACAAGCAGCGTGGTCGCCGAATACCTGCTGGTGGGATCAAACCTTTAAGTGGTCGTGATTTGCCACCATGACTATCTTACCTATAACCTGGGATGCTAAGGAACTTAAATTGAGTGACCAGAATATGGGTATATAAATATGGGGGTTTCCCAAAATTAGGGGTACCTTTTTGGGAGTGCCTATAATAAGGATTATAGTATTTTGGGGTCTATATTGGGGTCCCCTTATTTTGGGAAACTACCATATAGCAAATGATCGGGTTCTCTTTTTATAGTAGCTCAGTTTAAGTGCAGTCCAGTAACCCCTGGTATAAGTACTTGTGCAAGGAGGTAATTTCGGCTCCTTTTCTGGGAATCCATGTACCAAGGAACATGTGTTATTTTGGGGCATGTAGGAGGGACCCCCTTTTTGGGCATGCTCAATTCAATCTCTGATGTTGGAGACCCTGCCCTTCTGGCAAACTTTCACGTAAATTAGCAATACCAATGCCAACCTCAAGCCATAAGTTTATTTTTCATGAAACCGGTTCCAATATATATGACCATGGGTTTTGAGTTTAGGGTTCATGCATGGGACTTGTCATAGGTCCACCAGAAACTTGCCCCGAAGAGAGCATTTTCACCTTTACCGAAGAGGCTGTTCAGCAAGCCGGCTCAACCCGACCCGGGGTTTATAGGGTTAAGGGTTTTAGGGTTATAGGGAATGAGCCGCTGTCTAAACTCCTTAAAGAGGGGCTATGTAGGGGATTTTATAGGGGACTTTTATAGGGGTTATCAGGGGAGATGGAGAATTATTCAGGTGTTATTAATTAAGGAGGATATTAGGAGCTCAGGCTATAGCTCAAATAATTTGAGCCGTACACCCTCATATTCCTGATAAGCTGCCTTGGGTTTAGGGTTTAGGGTTTAGGGTTTATTCCTGATAAGCTACCTTAAAGCCCTATTCTCAAAGCCTCGGCCCCTAATCTGCACCTGTCTCTCAGGGCACCGTGGTGCTGAAGGGCACCATCAAGAAGTGAGCCACTGGTTCTTCGGGGTGGGTGAATGCAAGTGCGTATGTCTATGTTCAGATGGTTACCCACTCACTCCCCGACTTCATTCAGGTGAGCATTGGCTCACTGGAGGTTGAGTTAGGTTAACATACGCGTGCAAAATGTGTACCGATATCCTGGTCCAAAATGTTCCTTCAAAGTTAGAATATGGGATACCTCAGCTAGACCTCTAAATGATATTGGCAACTATTTAGGCTTCTAAAGTACGTACACACGCTTCGAACAATGCTTGTCTTGTGGCAAGCTTCCGCCCCTACGGTGAGAAAACCTGCACAAGTGCTGTTGCTTGAAGGTTCATGGGGAAGTTCATCATATTACAGACTGTATAGGTATTCTGAAGGGACATGTGAGGTTAAGATTCATGGATAGATACAAGTGGAGTTACAATAGAGCGCATAACTGTAGTGTTCCTTCTGATAACCCAAGTAGAACAACCCAAGAACCTCCATTTGCGATTCCGTGGCGCGCTAAATGCCAGTGCAGCAGAAGCATGCATCTAGATGAACTGGACGACGAGATTGAGCTCATCATGACTTTTCAAGGCTCAAGCCATACAAGAGCAGATTTTGTTTCCACTCGCTTTGTTTAGCCCGATGTCCGTGTCCGCGGAGGAAGTGGCAAAGCACAACACCGACAAGGACTGCTGGGTCATCGTCGGGGATCAGGTGCTGGACGTCACGGAATTCCTGTCCGAGCACC